GGGCTGTGTTCCGATTCCCCACCCGGGTGCACCCGATATTATAGTATACGTGACATGTACTGGCCGTGTTCCGATATTCACTGTCAGTACTAAAAATCTTTAGTATATGTGACGTAAACTATAGATGTACAGTAATGACAGTGAATATCGGAACACGGCTTATATATACCAATGAGCAACCCATGATGCATTGCGAAAGGCCGCGAGAGCCAATAACAATCTACCTTATTTAGCATCTCTTTTCAATAGCAACTGCGCACACATCGATTCTTTGTATTGCGGGTGGCCCAGTCTCATATGACTTAGGGCCACCGCACAAGCTTTTCCGTAATGCATTACGTTACGTTAAGTACTAATTCTAAACCTAAACTCGTACGTAATCTTAAATTTCAGTCAACGCACAGAGAAAATCGTAATGTAACAAAAGCATACTACGTTACGATTTTGTTTGTGCGTTGACTAAAGTTTAAGATTACGAACGAGTTTAGGTTTAGAATAAGTACTTAACGTAACGTAATGCATTACGGAAAAGCTTGTGCGGTGGCCCTAAGTCATATGAGACTGGGCCACCCGCAATACAAAGAATCGATGTGTGCGCAGTTGCTATTGAAAAGAGATGCTAAATAAGGTAGATTGTTATTGGCTCTCGCGGCCTTTCGCAATGCATCATGGGTTGCTCATTGGTATATATAAGCCGTGTTCCGATATTCACTGTCATTACTGTACATCTATAGTTTACGTCACATATACTAAAGATTTTTAGTACTGACAGTGAATATCGGAACACAGCCATAGTATCAATATATGACTTGGGCCGGTATTCATATAGTTCGTTCTTATATTTAAGATCGTCTTAAGTGTGGTCTTGGGTGTGTAGTCTCTTCAGAAATCTGAAAAGAATAATTTAATTTTTATTAATTATATATTGTGAGTGATCGTACACTTAATTTCATTATTTGTTAGTAGATTTACTTATATGTAAAGTTGCTTTTCTTCTACATATGTAACAGGATCGCATTATTGTTTGTTGCCTTTTTTATCATTTCTTAAATTAATGAAACTATCTCAAGGAAATGATGCGCGTATGCGCATTGCCAATCAAGTACACGAATTGTAGAAGCGAGAGGTTGATATATACGTCTGCACCGTAATTTTTTCGCCAACGCCGCTTATTGGAAAGATACGTGACTAGCAAATATAGTAGTATTACATATATATAAGGAACCCTGAATATACTTTGTGCATGCGCACTACAATTATAAAATTGACTTATTCTGCATTTTTTTATAACTAAAAAATTTATCAATTCACAAACGATTTACAAACGAAATACACTCAGAAAAATTAAAAATAATCATATTTAATAATTTCTACTGGCTAGTTTCATGTAGGTAAAACCTTAGAACATATATACCTGAAAGGGGAATTGTCTATGCTTCCCGTGAAAAAGATCTGTGACCAAGTTGGGTACGAGAGAGAAAGGTAGATTGTAACCTTTGTTCGCAATGCGCAAACGCACGTCACGCTCACCGCGCCATTTGAAAATAGAAATGTAATTTTTAATTGGGATACAATTGACGATGATCGAATAGGTGATAATTAATGTACATACAGTGACAAATAATGATAAACTTTATTAAACAAAATAACAAGTAACGTTCGAGATATATTATTAATGTTTAAAGTGTACTAATTTTGAATACTTCTGTCTAATAAAATCTTTTTGCTTTATATCACTCGATTTATCACGTTTACCGCATAACACACAATATGGGCCTGGCATTTTCTTTTCCTATGAAATAACTTTTTTTCGAAATAATTTTGCATACCGATGTCACTGATACCTAACCCTAACCTTCTATAGCAATGACGCTATTCACGCTATTCGCTAATTCGCGCTTGCGCATTGCAGACGAAGGTTACAATCTGCCTTTCTCTTTTCTTAAAACGTGGTTCTCTCTCGCACCCAACTTGGACACAGGCTCAATCCATCATTCCCCTTCCAGGTATATATGTTCTAAGGTTACTATTGTTACGTATCGTTACGCAGCTATTTTCCAATATGTTTCAGCGACATCGTCGTTACGAAGTTAGAGAATAATAGGTCTACTGGGGGTTGATTGTGTATCTTAAAACGATGTGAAAATTACCAAAATAAGGAAATTCACTAGAATATCTACGATTTCATTTGTCGAAATCTAATAAATCTGTTCACTTTTGTAATTTTCATTTTGTTTTAAGATACACAATCGACTTTCTGATGGCAGTGGAAGGGGAGCCGCATGAGTAGAGTGAGAGGCAGATAATATTAAGTCACATTTCGTCTCTTTCTAATAAAGCTTGATTGGTTGGCAAAAAATCGGCAGTACTGCTGTTCCAATCAGACCTTATTAGGAAAAGACGAAAATAACCTTATTAGAGTTCCTTTAATCAGAGTTAGTCTTAGAACATATATACCTGGAAGGGGAATTGCCTATGCTTCCCGTGGAAAAGATCTGTGACCAAGTTGGGTACGAGAGAGAAAGGTAGATTGTAACCTTTGCTCGCAATGCGCAAACGCATGTCACGCTCACCGCCATTTGAAAATAAAAATGTAATATTTAACACCGTCAATTTTAGACTAAAATATCTCTTACATAGAGATGAATCAAGCCAAGAAACTTCGTCGGAAGAATCACGTTCCTTTTTCCTAATACCGTACGTGAAATCTGTGTCGGAAAAATTCATTTCTGTTACAAGGAATACTGATCTGCGTTTGGCTTATATTTGTCCTAACAATTTAAAACGTTTCATAAAGGTACAAAAAGACTTACTGCCTCAATCTTATCACAATAACGTAGTATATAAGATCGATTGCAAAAACTGTGATGCTTCTTATGTTGGCCAAACGAAGAGATTACTAGAGACCCGTGTAAAAGAACATCGAAATCATATAAATAGAGCTCGCTTTCAGAATTCTGTGATATCGGAGCACAGAGTTAGTGAAAATTATGATTTTGATTGGGACAATGTACGAATCTTGGACAACGAGCCTTATTATGCGAGGAGACTTACTTCCGAAATGTTATTTATTAAAAGACAGAAGTCGGGTTTAAATTTGCAGAGTGACACGGAGTTACTTGATCCCTCATATCTGCCGATTATTGATAAGCTCAGTAAAATTTGAAGTTTACCGTCTTTAAATATTGATAGTTCTGTTCTGCCTCGTTAATCTCCTTTTATTTTCGTTTGTGTTTGTCCTCCGCGCCAGCTCGACAGTCGGAGTTTGACTGCGGAGCGTTACTATCACGCGAGATCCGTGCTTGACTCTAGCGCCTGGCGAGGGCCCTCCTTAGGTAAGTCACAATTTGGCAAAATAAGACAATTACATTGCTTTGTTCTCATTATTCCACCGCATTTTAAATTACCAGGTGTCTGTCTGAATTAAATTTTCTTCCCGCAAGTTCCTGGGGAAACTTTGTGGTGTATAATGATTATATTCACGGACCGTACCTGTTGGAAGGCCTTTTAAAATAACTCTTGACCATCTTTCTTCACTGACGAATTTATATTTTACTCACTGACCGTTAATATTGAACTTTCCTGACCGTATCTGTTTATTTTATTTTTTTATTTTTTTATCACTGAAGAGAGTCCAGTCGTGGACAGAAACGTTAATGTTTGAAATTGTTTATTTGCGACCTGCGCTATATTTATTTTTATTTTAATTGTTAAGACTTGCGCCTATTTTTTATTTCCGTAGTTTATAGTGTTAAAATTGTTTATATTTGCTTGATATTTGCGTGCTCCTTAAGCCCATTTGTGTACTTGTTTTGATTTTATAGGAGCTCTGTCATTATTTTGTCATTATTTTGTCATTATTTTATGTAATTTTTAATTGGGATACAATTGACGATGATCGAATAGGTGATAATTAATGTACATACAGTGACAAATAATGATAAACTTTATTAAACAAAATAACAAGTAACGTTCGAGATATATTATTGATGTTTAAAGTGTACTAATTTTGAATACTTCTGTCTAATAAAATCTTTTTGCTTTATATCACTCGATTTATCACGTTTACCGCATAACACACAATATGGGCCTGGCATTTTCTTTTCCTATGAAATAACTTTTTTTCGAAATAATTTTGCATACCGATGTCACTGATACCTAACCCTAACCTCCTATAGCAACGACGCTATTTACGCTATTCGCTAATTCGCGCTTGCGCATTGCAGACGAAGGTTACAATCTGCCTTTCTCTTTTCTTAAAACGTAGTTCTCTCTCGCACCCAACTTGGACACAGGCTCAATCCATCATTCCCCTTTCAGGTATATATGTTCTAAGGGTAAAACAGGCTGCGTTTCGATATTCACGAATATTATATCGAAACACAGCCACAGTTGTAGGTAGAAGATTGTAGAGCGCGTCGCGGTGGATTGCGCGAAGTTGCACATCTGAAATGTTCCGTATTTTTCGCAATTATTATCGTTTAAAACGTGAATTTCACGTTCATTCGACATACTACTATTGTGATTATGTCTTGTAAAGTATCAGTTTGTAAAACACATTAAATGTTGTGTACATATAATGTATACAATCGCGTTATTATGAATATTTATACTATACAGGGTGTCCGGTAAAGATTGTGCCAACGCTCGTGAGCAGGTAGAGCACAGTAATCTGAACAGAAAAGTCCTGTAACATTTTTTTATATAACACATAATAAAGGAATTATTATTGAGTAAAGTCTGGCCAATCAGCGCCAACCTTTAGCCGGGCGCACGTCAGTGAGCCCCGCGCTGTGAAGTGTGCGCCGCCGCATACTATCAGGCGGGCGGCTCACCGACGTGCGTCCGGCTAAAAATCGGCGCTAATTGACCAGATTTTACTCAATAATAACTCCTTTATTAAGCGTTATATAAAAAAATGTTACAGGACTTTTCTGTTCAGTTTACTGTGTTCTAGCCGCTCACGAGCGTTGGCACAATTTTTACCGGACACCCTGTATATATACGTTGATTACACGATATACCGATTTACGCGGATATCGAGACTCGCTTCGATTCCGCGATTCGGTTCCGGAGACTCCCTACGTATATTGTACATTATTATTTGCTCTGCCGAAGTACAAGATTTATTCGACGGTAAAATTTTATCCAGTAATACGAATTGTTTGGCATTTTATGAAGAATACAAAAATTTCAAAGATGGAAGGATCGTATTCCGACGACGTTTAATAGATGTCACTACGAATATATTTTGGTTCGCGCCCGTGGCGCGGAAGTGGGAGGTAGGAGGTGGGAGGTGGGAGACCCAAGTAGTCCACCATCTTGCGCGTGTGTCTAACTAATGTTTGTCGCGCGATGCACACGAGTTGATTCGAGTTTTGATGTGAACGTGAACGTGAACGTGAACGTGAACGTGAACGTAAAAGTACAGCGACGTTTTCACGGATGTCCGATGAAAGTGACGCAAGGTGACAATTTAGTTTGGAAAGATTTCTACATCTTTGGTGACAAGCAGTACGAAGACAACGATTGACACTGGGTAGAGCATCTTTGGTGAGTCGCTTTTCAGATTAGATTAAATAGAATTAGATTATCGTATGATTCTTCTTCACCACGCTGCTGCAAAATCTACATTCTCGACGCGATTCGTAGTATCGCATAGCCAATCTGCGACGTGCGACCACTGCAATCACCCGTATATTTATTACCTAACTTTACCTGTCCTGTCGCAACTCGTGCTCGTGTCAGCTATTGTATATGTATGCATCGAAGAGATGTGTCGCAAAGTGGTTTGTTCGCGCGAAATCTATTATTTTAGAATTTTACCAATAGATATTTCAATAGAGTGATAGAGATCCAGACTTATGATAAGTCCTTACGAGATTTTTTGCGGAATTTATTGGATAATTATATTATAGTCTTAAAAAAAGCGAGATATTGACGTTTATGTCATGCATGACTGCATTATGATGCATGCGTGCTTGCGTAAGAAGCACTAGAAAGAATTAATGTATTAATGCATCGCTTTGCCATGCAAAGATATGCGCTTTTAACGTAGTCGTGTCCAATTACTTTATTAGAGCTTGATATTTAATATAGGTATATACATATTTATATGTATATTGTTCGATGATATTCAGATTTAGATTAACCTTGTATATACATATAATGGACATATTGTGAGATTATTACGATACGCGAAACGTCATCCGAGTAAAGAATAATCGAAGATACATATGTAAGGATTCTTCCTGAATGTTAAATTTCACGTCACTCATATAACCTTCGATAGCTCAGTTGGTAGAGCGGTGGACTGTAGTTGATTGTTTGAATATTTGGAGAAGCCATCCATAGGTCGCTGGTTCAAATCCGGCTCGAAGGAATTTTTTTTCGCTCATGATTTGTTGCACATTTCATTTTATTTCATCTTCTTTTATTATGAATAACATTAAGCATATTTATCATTAATATTTACATGTTTTTGTTGTAGAAAGTGTATTTAATTTTTGATCGAAAAACAATCCATTTGAGAAAAAATTTTATTCTGATACTAACAGCGGATTCTTACTATTTTTGCGTGCTTTTTGAAATCTTTTTGCTTTTACATAGACAAACATTTGTATGTAGAAAAGACTATACTCTATATTCTATTAATTTGGGAACAGTAAAATGGGATGGTAATTAGAATGTTTTCGCGATATTAAATTAATGCTACCGAATGTATATTTTGCATTTTGTGAAAAGCATTTTTTGGACCGATATTTGTCATTAAAATCATCCATTTTTTCAAATTCGGAGTTTCTCGTATATAATAAAAATATCTATGATATGCCATCTAGGTCTAAATAAGGCAAAAAACGAAATCGTATTATGGCACGACGAGTAAATATCGTAATCGAGACGAACGAGCTAAAAACGAATACGCGACTATGAATATTCGTGGCTAAACGGATTAAAGGCCGAAAAATATCCATATTATTGGACATATGGGATGGCCATAAGGCACAGTCGCATAGGACGTGCGTATTCGCGATATATCCACGATAATTTATAGCCGCGTCCTAATCGTCTTTTCTAGCCATAATTTATTACTACTCCATCCATATTTATTGGCGCTTTGGCCACTGCATTCTGCCGGGCAGCAGATTGGTTATATTGTTGGTGGCCCGATATATATATAGATACACACTGCAATAAATTATCTAACGCGCGAAGGTGCGACGGCTGACGCGCACTGAGAGATAGATTGCGGTAGAAAAGAGAAGGGATTTATTTAAGCAACGCGGTATTTTATATACGTGATTTGTGTTGCAATTTTCTGCATATACGTACATGTATAAATGTATATAATTATATGATGTATTGTTTTTAGCTTTGGAATTTTATATATGTATATATACAGCGGTAGAGAACTTTCGTACTCGGTTTAACCTCGCTCTACCCGCACATTACGGGGCGATTATTATCAGACACCCTGTATATATATATATATCATATACCTACATAAAATCTCAATGGCGTAAAGTGATAAAGGACGAGTAAATCACTGATGATTAATTTTATTGATATTAAATTAGTTACTATCACCAAAATTACGAATAACATCGATGACTTAAATTTTAATGACGTTCCCAGTTTGTTTGCTCGATTTAATTATATCCGGTAATATTCCTTTATTGACAGTTTATCGTAAATTAAACGTTGCGTTTATAATGCGGCTTGTACATAGCAGTAAAGCTTTGTGTATGCGACATATACAGTTATAATACACGTATACGAGGACGAGAATAATATATATGATTTGGTTTATATCGCGCGCTCATGATCTGTTACTATTTCGCATGTACATACATACATATGTATTATTAGGTACATGACTGACATTTCGCATTGATAATAATGCAGTGATCGACATTTCATAGTAACGTAATATATCACTGCTTGCCGAAAAAGTTATCGATGTACTTAAATATTTATAAATACTGTACAAATTTAAATCTTTTTGCTCCAAATATTATTTTTTTCTCACTGAAAAGAGCAAGCACGATCGTATTCAACGTTAATGCAATGAATAATTAGAAAAAAGCCTCCATGCACAAAAAGAACATCATAGATGCGCGAATGACCGATTATATTCGCAAATTCGCGTGATTTTCTTCTTTGATGCGACGAAACAAGGGATTGAATTTACGAATGCCGATGATTGTTCGATCCGCGGATATCCATGCACGAGAAATATATTACGTTCCTGTTCAATGGCGTGACGCGTAATCGGCCGTTAAATTCGTCGGTGCCGCCGGCATGAACGACACACAAAACGATTCAATTAGTGCATTCGGTTTCCGACGGGGCGCGTCATCACGTGCGACGTCGATACTCTCGTCATCGGTCGCTTCCGACTGATCCGCGCTTTCATAAAAGTACGTGGGTGGTGTGCCTATTTATTATTGTTAAATAAAATGACGAAAAGCTGCGTTCCCGAAATAATACAATCGGTGCGAAATTCCGATCGAAATTGTGGCGCGTCAAACGCTTGACGGACTGGCGCGCAAAACTTAAAGCGTATCTGACCGAAGAATGGCCGATGATCAGATATTAATATCACGAATATATGTTAATATAATATACATATGATGTTAGTAAAAAAATAAGTGACCAAACTTTAAGAGCATATTTCTACTTATATCGTAAAGATGTAAAAGAGGTTGTATACATGTCGTTAAAAAAAATAATCATTTTCTATAACGATATACATATTTCACACATTACAGAGTAAACTATCATATATCAAGAATTTCCATATTTGGTGTATTTTGTGTATTTTGTCCGCGAGCATTTGCAAAATCATATTCATATGATTTTCCATTTTTACGATGAAAAAATAGCTTACACTTTTAAAGTGTGATCAAATATTTCAGAAACATCCTGTATACGCGCGTTATTATGTGAAATGTGCTAACGAACGGCTTGCGTATTATTTTCTTTTCCTGCAAACATACGAATGTAATTATGATTTTGATTACTCGCATGGACGATATCCAATTCAACTTTGAATTTTTAGAGAAAGGTAAGAAGTGAAGAGAATGCTTTAACTCAAAAAATTACGTTATGAAATTTCTAAAAATTAACTTTATTAAAATAAATTTAATAAGTTATGTGAGTGAGAAAGAGAGAGAGGGGGGCGGAAGGGATAGAGGGGGGAAGAGGGAGGGAAGGAAAGAGGGAGGGAGGGGGAGAGAGAGAGGGGAATGGGACATCTACCGATTTTTGGTAGATATCTCGATTGCGCGGCTGTGATCATCATCGAACAATATACGTCATACGTGAAGATTCACGCGAATGTTTGGATTGTGTTGTAAAAATTTAATATTTTCAAAATCTGTTGGCAATATCTTCGAGCAATTAATTAGCAATAAATTCTAGTATATTTGTTTTTTTATTTGCGACTCGCTATAAGTGTTTTTCGGAAGTGGGGATGCTAACTTAATGGCAAGTCAGCACCCCCATCTTTAATATTATCATTTTCCTGTTAATGGGTAGAAGCAACAAATTAGCACTTAATTATGCACTATTGCCGAACCTGATTTTTCGTGATGGGGGTGCCAGAATTATAGGGGTGATTGTATTGTCAGGTACGTGAATTATTAAACGACAGGCTTGCAATAGGAAATTCCCATGTGGTGGCAAGAGAACGTGTGTCGTCGAAACTTTACGAATAACTAAGTTATTAGTTTCCACTATTCAAAGACATGTAAGTAGTTGTTTTCATATCGCATTCGAGCGATTATTTCGCATGATATCCGTCTCATTATTAACACATAAAATCGCAGATACATAAAAAATTTATTTATTTTGGAGTTTTGCGAGATAATTTGATTTTGTTTAGCGCGATGTACTTAATTTATTGAGCTATTATTACATTATCATTGCTCTACACGAGATGTAGTGTGACACATTTGGTGAGAAAATGAAAAGAACAATAAAAAATGTAGAATAAATTTATACTTGATCGCATTTTACTTTTCGAGAAAAATAATTTGTAACGTAAAATTGTGCTATGATTTTTTAAAAATCTAAACATGTATATAAGTTTAACACAAGTTTGACAGTTTGACAGTTTTTGACAGTTTATGGCGTTTGCAAAAATTGAATCACCCTGCATATGTACGTTTGAAATCTAACTTAATTACAAGAAATACGCGATTGTATGAATACCTCCAGGCCTCCGGGTACATTGACTCACAACCTACTATCCAGATTAACATATTATCTCTCGTCTCAAAGGGCTTTTCATATCATTAGGTAAGGCGGATCTGCAATAACAATGATTGTTATGCTTGAGGGGTTTCCTGTGGGCTACACGCCTGTTTCTCCACAATTTCATCTTTGGAACTGATGCATAATGTATGGATAATTTAATTTAATATAATACCACAATGTAATGTCAGCAAACGCGGGATATTACAGGGTACGTCGTGCATTGATAAGCAGAGCGTGATAATAATTGCTAATTGATAGCGAAGCGTTGTGCAATTTTCATGAAGTGTAGCAGC